GAACAGAATGAAATGTTTCTCATATGTTGCCATTTAAGCTTTAAAGGACACAAGCAATTTTAGAAAATACATTAGTCATTACTGGTAGGTTGCTTGGACCTGGAAAGTGCAAGATAGACTTAATTCCCCTTTCCATCTGATCTGTTTTCTTTTTTCTCTGTTTTATATATATTCATGCCTGCTTTGAGGGTTCATTTAAATAGCTGAGCATGGGAATTGTTAGTGAAAGACTCTCCCTTCATGTTAAAATGGGTCACAGAGAGAACAGGCTAGAGCAGCTCATCTGTTCTTGAGCGCTAAATATTAATTGTTGCAGAGGACAAAATTTTTTTAAACCCATTAAAATGCCAGATTGGCTTTTCCATAAATAGCATCCAGATGTTGGTGTCCTTGGACACAATGCCCCATATGAAGTAGGTTTTACGCTGGAAGCTGATTTTTATGTTATGGGATCTTAACGCCTGGAAAGTGTGCAGGGAGAAGAAATTTAACATCAAATATACAAAATACTGAAAATATGTTTTCAGCTTGGAAATAAACATGAAGTAGATACCACCTGGAATGGGTATATTTCCACGGTAAACATGGAAAGTCATTTAAAGCTAACTGGATAGATACCTATACAGTCCCATACTTCAGAGTCAGAGCAGATTTTTTTTGCTCACCTTGGTAGTGGAATTATGGCCTAACCTTCTTGAATTTTGCATGGCAAATGTCAGCTTCTCATCACAGGACCTCATAATATGCTATAAAGAAAGGCATTTCTGTGCCTCAGTAGTATGAATTGTAAAAATCTACTGAGGCACAAGGCACTTGGGATACTTTGCAGAAAAACTCAGTGTGTCTGAAGGGCCCTGCCAGTCCTGTGCTCTTACTGCCAAGCAGCAGTCAATCATCTGTTCTTTCATTCATTCATTCATTCAAAAGAGCGTGAATACTTCTACTAAACTTACAAGGAAATTTGCCTTATGAGGAAATTATGGATGAGGTAAAATATGAGCTACTATATGAGATAACAGAAGAAAGATGAAGTTTTTAGATCAAATTTGCTGAACCTCTGTGCCTTTGTATTACAATACAAGCTATGCAAATTGATTTGGGCTGGAAATGGTTAATAAAATTAATAAAAGTTTAAAAAAAATATATCTTAGGACTATGTCAAAATGACAGGAGTGAAGCCATGTGCTCTAAATATTTGCTAACAACATCCATCTCTTAAAGAAAAAAATGTAAATACCTCTGTCCGTTCAAGCTGTGGTTCCTTGAAAAAGCCTTCAATTACTGTTGTCGTCTTTTGGAAAATAAAACGTAGCAGGGTTATTTATCCTCATAACAGTCCATGGAAATTTTGTATATAATACCATTGGGTAGTATAAACCATTTATGTTGTTTTAAGAATGCCAAACTGTGTTGTGCTATCTCAGCCATGCCTGTTTGCACACCCCCATTCACAGCAGACCCAAGTTTTTTTTCTGTTTTATCTCCTCACTCATCTTAGCTGGACATACTTTGTTTATGCAGAGGAAGGACAAAGGCTGAGCAATGACTGAGCTAGCATTTCCACGGGATCTCGCACGAGGCTTCTCCAGGGATGGGTCCTTGGACCCGTGGCTGGACTGCCTGTGCTGAAGGCATGGCGCGAGGAGGGCTCCTCCCTCGGTGCGCATCGCCCAGAGCCTGTGGGCCCCGGTGACCTTCTGTCCCTGCCAGTCTAAACCACTGACCTCAGGGTGGAAGGTTCCCTCTCACGCTTTCAGGCCCCTGCACCAGTCAGTGCCATCGATGAAGGCCTGGAAGAGCTGTCTTTTACCAAAGTAGTTGCATTGGACAGGCCTTAGTTAGAATGCAGTTGTACAGGATTAATGATGTCTCAGACAGTCTCCTTTCTTGACAGGAGTAAGCTGTGGGTGCGTGGGGGTGTGTGTCTGTGTTTGCACACACACCAGTATAACCATTTCTGTGTTAAGAAGCTTGTGGAACTACTATCACTGGTATTTTTCTCTAAAGAGCTGGGACGTAGGCATTGTTTGCAGGAGAATGCAATCGGTTGTAAACTAAATGCTGAACCAAAACCTTAAACACGCCCAGTTACCCAGGAATGGACAGCTCTCCTGTCTAGGCATCTGGCAGGTCCAGAGAAGAGCACAAATCAGCCGAATCATTTTTGAAAGAACGGAGCTAATCTTATTTTAACACCGGCAGTCCAAAAGGGGTACCTGGTAATACCTAGGCTGTAGTAACGCTGCTAGATGTGGAAGATGCCGTGCGGGGCCAGGCCGGCTTCCCGCGCAGCGCGGGGGCGCTCTGCCGAGCCGAGTCAGCGCTGCAGGAAAGTGACAGCGGTGCAACGCGTGCAAGAAAAATCCAGGCTTCGTCCCGTGTTACACAGCTGGGAGATTTCCTTCTGTCACAGCTCCTCCAGCCCCTTACCGGATCCAGGGTTTCACCTGTTGTTTGGTGCAGGAGAAACAAAGAGCTGTGATAAAGCCTTATTGCAAATTATATACCTTCCGGTTTAGAAGCCGTTTATTGCAGAAACATTTTTTATAGCAACAGGAAGCCTTGTTGGCAGTGTCTTTTAATTATGCTCTGAAGCTAATCAAGGAAAAGAGAAACTGTTTTTAACACAGGAAGCTAAACAGCTAATCATACATTCGAGTGCCTATTTCCATGGGGGATGCACAAGCACTTAAGCGTTGCTGAACTCTGAACACATCAGCAGTCTGTTAAGTGGTTATAAAATGCAGGCATTATTAAGCAGGGGAAGGGGGGATTCAGACCCCCCTGTGTTAGGCACCTGCCCTCTGTCACCAAAGGGAGCAAGAGGTGACTGAAAGCAGGAGCTCTGGAAAACCCTCTTTTCACTGGTTACGGAGGAAGCCTGAAGAGACTAGACACAAATTAGGCACCTAAAACAGAGTGGTATTAGTACTCTGCTTTGCTGTATTACTGCCTGATGCTACTTACAGACTTAGCATACTTGAGGCTAATTGCCATGATTGTTATAGCTGAACAACTTCAGAGAGCTGTTACTAGACATAATAAGGTTCATACTGAACAGCTCTTATTCCCTCATTTTTCTCCATTTTTAGGTTCAAATCTTTCTTTGGCATTGAAAGCAAAGGAATGTATATTGGAACGACACTCACCTACTCTGTTGAAACTGCATGGTACATATAATACATGATGGAGAGTACTGCATTGCCCGTAACAGTGTGCCATATAGCTCTGCTTCCCAAAGGGAGCATCCCAGTGTCTCAAAGAGCTTCTCTTGCCATGCTGCTGAAGTGTCTTGTCAGTTGTGGAGAGCTCTGTCTCTCTCCCAAAGCTCTAAATTAGATTGGAGGTGACTTGAACCACATGCATAGCAAGCGAGTCTGCTTAAGTAAACTACAAAGCACTAATAACTGAAACGTTATTAGGACATTTAGGGTGTTCTGAACCTCTTCACAAAGCATGGAGGGCGGAAATAATTTTTTTTCTCTCTCATATAAAACCCCTAGAGGAATATTATGAAAGTGAAGCTAAACTGCTGTAAAACGAGCAGCAGTGAGGAAGGCTCAGACTCAGACCACGTGTGTTCCTAGCTAAGTCTTTCAGCAGGTTCAAAATGTTCCCTGCCCATGTAACCCACTTGATTTGTTTTCTCTGAGCACATCCAGTCTATTCCAGGCACTTCATAAACATGAACTGTGGCTCTTCAGGGAGAAAAAAAAAAAAACCCTATTTGTCTAGTATAGGCATACAGCTTCAACTGAGGATCTAGCTAACCTCTTTGGCAGGCCTTCCTGGCTTGGTAATTAAGGTTTCTATTGGCAGCTTGCACACTAAGTTATAGAGTTTGTAGAGTCCCATTGATGTTCTGCTGCGTTGCGGAACCGTTGCAGGGAAGTTCGTCGATCCCACCTGGCTCAGGGCAGCGTCTGCTAAGGGGCACGCACGCCGGTGCTTCTGAGATACTCCTTTCCAAGGTGACTTGCCAACGCATTTTTTTGGTTTGTCTTGCATCTGCATTCACATTTCTGCTATTGGCCAGTGTCAGTGATAGGGCGCTGGGTCAGGGTTTGGCTGTCTCATGTTGTGTGTGGATAAAGAGTGGAGAGGGAACGTGCAACCGGACACAGAAAAGCAGCAAAGTTCTTTCCAAATGACCCTGAAAAATGGCAGTCCACACTTCCTACTGCTCTAATGCAGGAAGCCTGCCAAGACCTCTAAAGGAAAAGAAGTGCAGGGACAATCCTGCCTTTGTTCTGGTTGGGTTAGTTAATCTTGAAACACTTTAGGATGACTGCTAAGTAGCTGTTAATCACATAGAAAGTGGAAGCGGGGGAAGAATGAGGGGCTCTGGCCGCAGGGGTTCAGCGGCAAGAGCGGTGGCCGAGGGCAGGGG